TAACCGCGAAAAGATTTATTTCAATCGAATTACATTGCGTTGTTATTACAAAAAAAAAAAAGATAAAGAAAAACTTTACGCGGGGTGATTTTTTTTTTTCGATTTAATTTTTAATTGGTAATTCGATTACTTCCGCATGGGGGGGGGGGGGGGAAGAAGAAAAGAAAAATCTGGAATTTCAAATTTTTTGTTTAATCGTAAACGCGACGACGTGTCGTAATATTTTATTTCAAACACCTGAAAAACAAAAAAAGTAATAATAATAATAATAATAAAATAGTCGTGGTGTGCATGCATTCATTTGTTGATTGTTAGACTGGAGTCGTTTAAGTGTTTTATTATTATTAATACCAACCGGAAATGATTCGAAACCTGCCAAGATTTTATAAATGCAATTTTGTCGTTGGTAATAATATTAATAATTGCATCATTTTTTTTTAATTCATTCAACTTGCACCATTGTTTAAAATTTTAAAGACGAGAGTAGACAAAAAAAAAAAAAAAGAAAAGATTTTAATGACAGAGTTTGACGACGACGACAACGACGACGACAACAACAACAACAACAACAACAACAACAACAACAACAACGTCGGAATTTAATTTAAAAATATCGTTAGAAAATTAATTAATTGATGATGTAAAATCGATGATAGATCGATCGATCGAATGAAAATGAATTTAATAATAATAATAATAATAATAATAATAATAATAATAATTTTGAATATTGTATTTCGCGATATATGATACATATATTATTATTATTATTATTATTATTATTATTATTATTATTATTATTATTATTATTAATATTATTCCGACAACCGTAAAATCATAAAAAATTTATTCTTTAAAATTAATTTTTTCGACTTGATTGTATAATTTTTAATATCGGAAACAAAACAAACAAACGCAAACGTTTGTTTTATCACGGTCAAATTAATTTAATTATTATTATTATTTCGATCGTTTCTTTCTCTTTCTCTTTCTTTCTCTCTCTCTCTTTCAATTAAATCTTGTAAAAACAATGATGAAATTTCAATTTATAAAACGAAAAAAAAAAAATTTTCTCCGTAGAAAACATGTCGTTAATTATAATTTTTTTTGCAATATATGGAATCGGAAGAGAGAGAGAGAGAGAGAGAAAAGGAGGAAGGAAGGAAAAATTATGGAAAATTTTAAATTTTCGACGTGTGGAAATTTTTTTTTTTTTTTTTACGTACATCGAAAAAGTTGGAAAAGTTTTTTGGACTCGATTATCATAGAATTTTTTTTTTTTATTTATTTAATTCGGTGTTTGAACGTTAAACATGTTTTTTTTATTTATATAAGTTTTGTGCGTGTGCGTGCGTGCGTGCGTGCATGCGTTTGGAAAATTACACGTCCGGATCGTTTTCACGTGAAATTTTCCCGGTTGCTTTTTTATTAGAAAATTTCTTTTTTTCTTTTTTTTCTCCTCTCTGCGTTTTTCCGTCATGCGCTCTCGATAAAAGAAAAAGATGGAAAACGGAAAGAGGAAGTGACAGACGGAAAAGAGAGAGAGAGAGAGAGAGATAGAGAGATTGTCCGTGCGTGTTTATTTTTTTGTTTTTTCCGCGTACGGTTTTCTCAGATGCCGGCTTTTTTCAACCTCGTGGGTTTTAGTTGAGATTTCAAAGTGAGATTTCAAAGCACGCGCTTTCAAATTCAAAAAAGTAACAAAAAAAAAAATTTTTTTTAAATTTTTTAACGCGAGGTTTTCGTGATAAAAAAAAAAAAAACGTGAAAAATTTTCATTTTCTTTTCTTTTTTTTTTTTTTTTGTTTTTTTAAACCATCATCGCAAATTTTTATTCGGGTTGACTTTTTATTTTTTGAACGGGGCGTTGATTAAGAAAATAAAAGAAAGTTTTAAAGTTTTCCTTTTTCCCCTCACCCCCCCCCTTTAGTTTTTTATCAGTTTGAATGATTTTATTGATAACTATATTATGAGTTTTTTTTTTTTTTTTTTTTTTTTTTTTGCTCTTTTTTTTTTTTTTTTTTTATTTTAAATTAATAGGGTTCGAGAAGGGGTTTTTTTTTTTTTTTAATTCAAAAGTTGTTAAATTAAAAATTGAAAGAGGGGGGGGGGGAGAAAGAAAATTCCAAAAGTTTGCTCGTCTGTTAAAAAATACCATTTAAAAAATTTTCCGCGTAAAAAAAAAATGGGGGTGAGAAAATGGGGGTTTTTTTTTTTTATAAAAAAATTATTATTATCGAGTTTTAAAAATTGAAAAAAATTAAAAATGTTGTTAGAGAAGGGAAAGGAAATGATGATGGGAAAATTTAATCCCACGTCATACCGGGAATCCCGGTAGAAAGTTTAAAAAAAGGAAAAAAAAAAAAAAAAGGGAATAATGTCGAATTTTTCCCTTCTTTCAGAAATTATTATTTTAAATTTTTTTGCCGAAGAAGAAGAAGAATGAAAGTGAAACGAGATGAAATATTTTCTACGGTTTGTGGTAAAAAGTAATAATTACTTTTCCAACCAACGGTTTTTTTTTTTCATTTAAAATTAATTTTAAAAAAATTTTTTTTTTTTTTTACTACACGGAAATGAGACGAAAGTTTTGTAAAAATTGAAAATGTCAAAATCGTCCTTTAAATATTAAAAAAAAAAAAAATTTGTTTTCCTCTCATTTTCTTTCGGTTTGTTTGTTTGTTGTTAAGAGCAAAACGAATTTGAAATTTTTCAAAGTTATCGTCGTTAAAACGGTTTTTTTTTTTTTTACCCCACGTGAGAAGAAGGGTCGGAAAAGCTCGTCGTAAGGGTTAAATTGATAAAATTACAGCGATTGGCTGAATCCCTGGAATTTTTTTTTTTTTATTGTAAAGGGAAAGCTTTTGTATCGAAAGTAATTTCATCTGAGGTTGGGGGGTAGGAGGAGGTAGGGAGAGGAAGAGGAGGGGAAAAAAAGGAAAGGCTGCCTGCCTGCCTAGAACGATGATGATGATGATGATGATAATGATAAAAGTTAATTTTCCTTTTCCTTTTTTTTTTTTTTTTTTTCCATTTCTAATTAGTTTTAATTTATTTACATAAATTTAACTTGGGCAAATTTAATTTTATTACTTTGATTAATAAAAATTAAAAAAAAAAAAAAAAAGGAAAAAAGAAAAAAGGAAAACGGAAAAGAAAAGAAAAGAAAAGAAAAGGAAAGAAAAAAAGGTGTATCGAAAATTTGAAATTTTCCGACGACTTTTCGTTTCTATTTCGAATGAATGTAGGGGGGGAAAAAAAAAATTTTTTTTTGTTGTTTATTGTATCAGGTATAAAAGTTTACCTAAAAATTTCATTTTCTCTTTCATCCCCCTCCCCTCTTCTTCTCCCCCGTTCGTTGCATTTCCGATTTTTTTTTTTATTTTTCTAATTTTTTCATATTTAACCGTTTAAATAATTTATTTAGTTTTTATTATATTTTATTCATTGGTAAGGTAACTAACGAATTCTGAAGGGGGAGGGAGTTTTTGCATTCGATTTCATTTCTAGAAACCAAGGTGAAAAGGTGAAAGGTTTTTTTTTTTTTTTTTTTACTTTCGTTGCTGCTAATGCTGCTGCTGCTGCTGCTGCCGCCGCCATTGCTGCATTTTAATTTTTCTTTCAGCAATTTCAATAATCGGAATTCTCTTTCCTTTTACTATATGGATTGATAAGCGAACCTTTAAATTTAAATTTAAATTTTTTTTTTTTTGATGTCGTAAAGGTTATCGCGTTCAAAAAAAAAAAAAAAGAGATTAATTTATTATTATTATTATTATCATCATCACCATTGTTTTATTACACGTCGCGTTAATTAAATAATTTTATGATTTATTTTTAATTAAATAAAGGGATTATAAACAAAAAGGGAATCATCAACTCGGATTAAACGCGGAAAAGTCGGAAAATTTTGAGGAAAATACGGGGGAAATTCAATGGTTTAATTTTTTTATTATTATCATATTATCATTATTATCGTACATACAGATGATTCGAGATATCGAAATCGGAGTTTAATGCATATGCCGGACAATAGGATGCGTTTTTAATTTGTTATGAAAATTTTAATATTTTCGATAGTTGATATTTAGAGTTTTTTTATTGTAAGACACTTAAAACGATCGAGAAAAGGATTCAGGGAAAAAAAGAGGAAAATAACGGAAGTTCAAAGTTTAAAGGGCAAAGGATTTTTTAGGCATTTGCGAAAATGAAGATTCGAATTTCTATTCGGATGATTAAAGATGTGCTAACAGCTTTTATTTCCTTTCCTTTATCTTCGTTTTCATTTTCGATTCGATGAAGGTGGTTTAGGTTTGCGTGTTACGAATTAAAACGATTTGTTTTTCTTCGATTAAGAGAGAGAGAGAGAGAGAGAGAGAGAGAGAGAGAGAGAGAGAGAGAGAGAGAGAGAGAGAGAGAGAGAGAGAGAGAGAGATAGAGATAGGGAAAAGGTTTTTGAGATTTTAATCTTTTCAATGTTTGTTT